CCACTAAAGGTTATAGCCTTAAGGCTCAGTTATGGCAACAAAATAAATATATATTCAATCAAGAATTAAGTTAGAAGACATGCTTTAAAGTTGAAAAGACACACATGACATTACATGCAAACAAAATTCAAACAACTAATCAATTCAAGTAATGAAGGAGAAACATGCTTTAAAATATTATGAGGTAATTAAAACTTGGGAAGAAAGTAAGTTTCGTGTTAAACAATGTAGAGAATATCACAATTTAGTGGCTAACCTATAATCATTGATCTCAAACAAAATTTATAAGAAAAAACATGATTAAATCAAACTATACGCCAAAATTAGGTCTAAACCAATCAATTGACAACTTAGAGGTCAAGCAAGCAAGATACGCTAGACATATGACTTAATTATGGACTCAACATAAAAATAAAAGCCACCTAAAATGTTAACATATTGATCAAGAAGTCAATTAAACATAAAACCGAGTATTAGGCATCATACACAAAAGATCAACTCCTAACTAGGTAAACAAGTAGACACTTATTCATTTTTGTGTGACAACAAAAGAAAAATTCAAACAAAGGTCTAAAGAGACATCAAATATCATAGAATTACATCACAAGGCATGTTATTATATACATTATCATGTCACAAAAAATCCCTAAGCTATTACATAAATGCAAGCTTCAAGATCAAACGGTTACACAAACATGTGTTTTTAACTAGGCATGCATCGAGGCTCCTAAAATTAATTGGAAAATGATTCAATTCTCAACTAAAAAATATCAAATTGATATATAAACCATGGAAGAGTAGACCCCTGATCTTGACAAAAAGATTGATTCAAAATAATGATCAACAATCATCAAACACAAGCCTTGATCAAAAATGGTCAAATAGCATACCTTCATAAAAAGAACTTAAAAGAAAATAAAAATCAAATTGGAAAAATAGGAAAAAATCATCTAAAAATACCTAAGGAATGAAAGAATTAGAATCATATTTTTATGAATTTTATTTGTCAAAAAGAGATAAAAAAAATTGCATCAAAACATGCAAGGTATCATATGAACATCACTTCTAAACACATTGACAAAAAAGAATTAAAAGAAAAATGAAAACCAATGATAAAAAATTCACAAGAACCGTGATAAAATTCCTAAAATACTTAAAGAACCGTGAATGTATTTTTTCACAATTTTTATAAGTTAATAAAATCGAAATCACAAGCAAAACTGGAAAAAAAAATTTGTAATAACTAGGTATTAAAAAAATTCACAAATAACCATATTTCAGAGAAAATTATGCAAATAACCATGTTTCAGAAAATCCCACAAGGGAGGAGTCAACCCAGTTGGCGCATGCACCTAGGTTTTTGCCCTAGGCACCATCTCACTTGGCGAATGCATTCTATTTTAGCCAAGTGAGATGGCGCATGCACTTTAGAAGTGAAGGGAGGCGCCATCTCACTTGGCTCCTAGGGTAAAATACTTTTTTTATAAATAATTCGTCTGTTTCTCCGTCATTCTTCACACTTTTTCGCACTGTCCTCTTATTTTTCATGTTATTTACGTCATGACATCGCCCATAATTTTTACTAAAGATGGTTACGTTATTTTCTCGGCCACAAAACCTCCGATGAAAATGAAATTCTGGCACATTCACTCCATGGAGCGTTGAAGAGGAAGTTGATGCGATGGCTAAAGGGAGACATCGAGGATGGGGAACAAATTAGAAGGATCCAGCGAAGAAGAACAGTCACCTCACTTGCGATGGGAAGACCTAATTTTTGGTTGGAGGAATTAAAAACAGACAACGACGTAATACTGATGATGCATGGGTCAGATGAAATTATTTTAACGGTTGTAATTTCGTAGACGGTTTATCGTGTTTTAATTGTTGTTCGCGCAAGGTTTATTGTAACAAACGCTGTTAATAAAAAATCGTAATGTTTACAACTTTAAAAAGTAAAGATATTTTGTAATACAATTTTTATATGGTTGAGCTAGTAGCCCGAGTCGGACAATTTTTGCGATTGTGTCCGACCTGACGACATAAACCACACTTTCTTTCCAGCTTTTCAAGGGAGTCCATTTCAGTTGTGATGCGCTTACTTTTGGGACAACCCTTTTTATTCCTTCGCATTTGGTCATTGTGCCATACTATTTCACCGTCGTATGCAGGCCAATAATCAGATTTTGCTACCAAAGGGAAGTTGTTGTTGTTGTATACGTTGACCAAGATTTCAGATTTGTAAATAGGAGACAGAAGTTGTAATGCGTCTTGATGAGTATAGGCACACACAACAATGACATGAGAGCAAGGCATACGAAAGGCTTGAAACTTGCCACAATCGCACCAACGAGAAGGTAGTATAACCCTATAATCTTATCTTGGCAGCCCCTCGTTGTGGTCGATAGTCTCTTTGACAATGAAGTTGTGGTTGTCTCGGTCGAACCGTATAAGCAGATGGGTGTTGGCACTTTCTGCCCTAATATACTTCATGCAGCTTTCACTTTATAATTGTTCAGATTGCAACACAATATTCCACATCTTTTGACAAACAACGAAGTCATCCTAAAATATGTTGATTTAACCAAATCAGTTACTGGGAGGTTTCGTATGCCTTTGAATTCCCCGTTCATGGATTCAATTAAATTTGTTGTCATTTGGCCCCATCGTTGTCCATTGTCGTATGAGCTAGTCCATTTTTCTACGGGAATGTTATCGATCCACCTATCGGCGTCCAGATTTGACAATCGGATCTCGTTGCGATAATATTTGAATGTAGGTTGTGTCAATGCATATCTTGCATTCATAATTGCTTTCCTAAGAGCTTTGTCTTTGATCCCCTCGTGAAATTTTGGACGATATGTCTAATGCAATAGACATGCATAGAAGGAGGGTCATGCCAACCGTTTGCAGGATTGTTGTATGCACTCTCAATAGATGCATGTCTATCAGAGATCAAACAGAGATCTGGTTGAGGAGCCACGTGTGTTCGAAGATTTTCGAGAAAGAAGCTTCAAGCACCACCAGTCTCTCCCTCGACTAGGGCAAAGGCAATTGGGAAAATGTTGTTGTTGTCATCTTGTGCAACTGCCATCAGTAGCGTGCCTTTATATGGGAAATACAAAGTCACGCTACTGATGGCAGTTGCACAAGATGGCAACAACAACATTTTCCCAATTGCTTTTGCCCTGGTCGAGGGAGAGACTGGTGGTGCTTGGAGCTTCTTTCTCAAGAATCTCCGAACACACGTGGCCTCTCAACCAGATCTTTGTTTGGTCTCTGATAGACATGCATCTATTGAGAGTGCATACAACAATCCTGCAAATAGTTGGCATGACTCTCCTTCTACGCATGTCTATTGCATTAGACATATCGTCCAAAATTTCACGAGAGAGATCAAAGACGAAGCTCTTAGGAAAGCGGTTATGAATGCATGATATGCATTGACACAACCTACGTTCAAATATGATCACAACGAGATCCAATTGTCAAATTCGGACGCCGGTAGGTGGATTGATAACATTCCAGTAGAAAAATATACGACAATGGACAACGATGGGGCCACATGACAACAAATCTAATTGAATCCGTGAACAGGGTATTCAAAGACATATGAAATCTCTCAGTAACTGCTTTGGTTAAATTAATATATTTTAGGATGACTTCGTTGTTTGCCAAAAGAGGTGAAATATGGAATGTTGTGTTGCAATCTGGACAACTATGGAGTGAAAGCTGCATGAAATATATTAAGGCAGAAAGTGTCAAAGTCAACCCCCATTTGGTTATACGATTCGACCGGTTCGACCGATACAGCCACAAATTCATTGTCAAAGAGACTATCAACCACAATGAAGGGCTGCCAAGACAAGAGTATAGGGTTATACTACATTCTCGTTGATGCGATTCTGGCAAGTTTCAAGTCTTTTGTATGCCTTGCTCTCATGTCATTATGTCATTGCTGCAACGCATTACAACTTCTGTCTCTCATTTACAAATCTGAAACCTTGCTCAACGTATACAACAACTGGTAGCAAAACCTGGTTATTGGCCTGCATACGACGGTGAAATAGTATGTCACAATGACCAAATGCGAAGGAATAAAAAAAGTCGTCTTAAAAGTAGGCGCATCACAACTGAAATGGACTCTATTGACAAGAAATTGAGGATTATGTCGTCAGGTCAGACACAATCGCAAAAATTGTCCGACTCTCATGGAGTGAATGTGCCAGAATTTCATTTTCATCGGAGGTTTTATGGCCGAGAAAATAACGTAACAATCTCTGGTAAAAATCATGAGCGATGTCATGATGCAAATAACAGAGAAAAAATAAGAGGACAGTACGAGAAAGTGTGAAGAATGACAGAGAAACAGACGAATTATTTATAAAAAATACATTTTGCCATAGGAGTCAAGTGAGATGGCGCCTCCCTTCACTTTTAAAGTGCGCCATCTCACTTGGCTAAAATAGAGTGCATGCGCCAAGTGAGATGGCGCCTAGGGTAGAAACCTAGGTGCATGCGCCAACTGGGTTGACTCCTCTTATGGAATTTTCTGAAATATAGTTATTTATACAATTTTTTTCTAAACATGATTATTTACGGAAAAAATTTTAAATCTTAATTATTACAAAAAAAAAAAATTACAAAACTAAATAGGTATCAAGAATTATGAAATACAAAACCAGGGGATGCATAACTAAATTCTTCAATGGAACTGAAACATATTGAATAGCGCTAAGACCCAATTAAAGGGGTGGGGATATAAACACGCTTGGACCAATAATATTTGTCTCACTATCTCATTTATTATTTATTTATTGTTTTGTTTAATTAATCAAAACGTGACATAATTAAATCACGTAAAGTTCATCAACTGCTCAGGTTTTGAGTTAAGTCACTATATGACAAAATGCATCATGGACAATCATCAATTACCACCTGTTTTTATCATCCAAATAATTAAATAATTTAAAGAGAATCAAAAAAAGATGATTGGATGATGGTTAAAACATGAACCAGTAACGACGCGCCACGCCTAGCGCAAAGGGAATCACGTTTGGCTTTGCATTTGCAGACGGTGGTTTCCACCATCTTCTCCGGCGGCATCCTCGCCGGAGTTGATCAAACCTCACCGAAAAATTACAACTCCGGTACCGTTTGAATCTTCTTGATGCGTAGATCACGAAGATGGCCCTTAAATCCATTTATTCAAACAAAATCATCACGAAAATCGCACATGCATTTTGGATCTGAAAAATCAACAAACTAATGCACACACAACCACCTCAAACATTTGAGCCTAGCTCCAGCCGCCGGTGGTGGAGCTCACAGATGCATGTATGAACCTATTTTTGGAGCTTCTAGCATGCTGAGAAAAAGATTGCAGGACTTACCGGTTCAAAGCTCGCAACTCTTTAGATGTATTCAGAAAACTCTATGCGTGGCTCTTTACTCCTTAGAGGACGGATAACGCACCGGTAGATTGAATCTTGGAGAAATAAACTCACCAAGGATCTTCAAATCTTGAAGCATAAGGTGATGACGAGTTTGACGCAGTGCTCACTCCAACTGAACAACGGTGCCAGGCGGAGTTTCTTCCGGTGATGAAGAAGGAGAATCAAGCCACAAAATCTTTGGAACTGGCTTGAGTTCTGAGAGAAACAAGAGAGAGGACGATGAAGAATAGAGAACTTTCGTCTTCGAAGATGCGAGAGAAGCCGAGAAAATCGTCCAAGTTCAGAGAGAGAAAGAGTTTTTGTTTTGGTGTTGATGAGAGAAGAGTTTGTTATGGTGGATGGAAGTGAGAGAGAGTTTCTGTAACTGATTTTTACAGTTAGCTTTTTTTCACTGATTGTCACCGAGTCTTTATCACAAATGAGGGTGAGATTATATAGAGAAGGCTATGACGCGTGTAGTTTCTTAGCTCTCTCAAGATTTTTTGGGTTGAGTTTTATTTTGAATCAAAAGATGAAGAGAGTGAAGCCACGCATTTTTTCCTGAAAGGTTGGTGTTGTTGTTTTGATTCGATGAGGGAGATCGTAGAGTAGCATGTGACGAGCCTGCAACAATACATCTGAAACAAGTGTTTGGAGGAGTTTTTTTTTTTTTTTTACTTTTAGAGTATCTTCAATGCTATAATCTCTTTTTGGGTTGTATGTGAAATTCATTAAGTCACATCATTTTAAGGTAACTCATTCAATTTTTACTTCAATGATACAAATTTAAAGAATTCATATTAGGTCTCACATCTTTACTTTATATATTAATATTTTATTTATATTAAATTTTATTTGATTTAAAATAATAATTTAAATTATTTAAATTTAAATTAATATAATATAAATAAAATTAAAATTAAACATAAATAAAATTTAAAATGATAATTAAAATTAATCTCAAATAAATAATATATAATTAAAAACAATACAAAAATAACATGACGGAATTACTCAAATTCAATTTTCATCATTCTCATGTCCAAAACGTTCCCAAATATGCACGACTAGATCTCCTTGAAGTTGACGATGAACTTGTTTTTTACGAAGACTTGGTCTTCTTTATAGTCTTGTTGCAAGATTCGGAAGAGGACCGTTAAATGTTTCAGTTGTTGAGTATGTGTCATCTACATTGTCATAAGAGTAATCAAAATCACCTTCATATGTGTGTCGTTCGTCTTCAACAATCATGTTGTACAAAATGATGCAAGCGTATATGGTATGCTTGAGGGTTTCCATATGCCAGGCACGCGCTGGGCCACGTATAATTGTAAATCGAGATTGGAGCACTCCAAATGCTCGCTCCAGATCCTTTCTAGCTGATTCTTGATGTTGAGCAAATAATTTTCTCTTTTCTCCATGCGGCATTGAAATGGTCTTGACAAATGTAGCCCACTCAGGATATATACCATCCGCTAAATAATACCCCATATTATATGATGTTCCATTGATTATATAGTTCACATTTGGAGCATGTCCTTCCAAAATATCGTTAAACACATTGGATTGGTTTAGCACATTAATGTCATTGTTTGAACCTGCAATACCAAAAAATGCATGCCAAATCCATAGGTCTTGTGATGCCACTACTTCAAGCATGATTGTGGATTTACCATGATCACCTCGACAAAATTGTCCTTTCCATGCAAGAAGACAATTTTTCCATTCCTGGTGCATACAATCAATGAAACCCAACATACCTGGAAAGCCACGTGACTCTCCCATTTGTAAAAGATGTTCAACATCTGTGTTGTTAGACTTTCTCAAATACTCTGCCCCAAATACAACATTCACACCCCGAACAAATCTTTCTAAGCACTCAACTGAAGTGCTTTCACCGATTCGAACATATTCATCTACACTATCAGCGGGAGACCCGTATGCCAACATACGAATAGCAGAAGTGCATTTCTGTAATGGTGAAAGACCCATTTTACCAGTTGCATCGACCCTCATTTGGAAATATTCATCATGATTTCCAAGGGCGGCTACAATTTGAAGAAACACATGCCTATGCATTCTGAACCTTCTTCGGAATTGAACATTTATGTATACTGGATTTGCCGAGAAGTAGTCACTGAATAAACGATTGTGCCCTTCTTCACGACTTCGATCTATCAATGTTCTTCTCTTTGGCCTAGAGGAACTTCCATATTGATGTTCCTTCTCGAGCATTGACTTTAGTTGTTCTTCATCTGTGTAGTCCATAAATTCTTCTTCAATCAAGTTCTAAAAGAGATCATTTGAACTGTCTGGATCCATTAAAGTGAGTGAAGAATGTAAGAAGAATGAGAGAAGAACGAGAGAAGAATGAGAAAATAATGAGAAGAGTGGTCATTTATATAGTGATTATATGAATAACGGCTAGTTTGAATAATGGCTAGTTTGAATAACGGCTAGTTTGAATAACAACATAATATTTATTATAAATTAAATTGGTATTAATGACCATTTTACATAGGTGTTGATACATAACAAGTACTACAATTTTTCATTATGACTAAAGTCCATATTTTTTTTCCAACTTATTACAATATTTTTCATGAATATCTCATTGACTATCATTCATTGTAGAAGTGTCTTTCGAGAGTAATTGCATTGCCTTATACTCCATCCCGTCCTCCTTACGTTGAGCTAGTCTTTCCATTGCTTCTACTCTTTTATTCCATGTATCTTGCACAATATTAGAAGGTGATTCAGATGCATTTTCCTTTGCCTTACTTTTTTTTTATGCTTGTTGTCCCATTGAACGCTCCATTGGTGATGATGAGTTAAACTCGTAACTTGAAGGTGTCGCAAGGTTAGACGATGATGAGTGTGCCCCACTAGCAGAATTCTTTGTTCTTTTTCAAGAATTTTCGATTGATGCTCCCATCCATTTAGGTTCATCCTTTAACAATCGCCATGCGTACTCAAGATTGAATGGTGTACCTTCATCCTGAGCAAAAAAAGCATATGCAGCGGCCAAGACATCTTTCTCCGATGTCCCACTTTTCTTTCCATTATCATCTTGTTTGTAACACTCAACAAATTTTTGAACCAAGCCATTTATTCGATGCCATCGAGATTTTAATTACCCACGTAGCTTTTCCCGCAACTGCCCACAATATTGATTATAATTGGTAGCGATTCTTAACCAAAAAATCTCAGCTTTTTGATCAACTCCCATAATTGGATCCTTTGAAACATTGAGCCATGATTGGATAAGAAGTATATCTTCATCCCTTGAAAATAGCTCTCGATATTTTTTTAACGAGACGACTTTCTTCTTTTTTAATACCGACTTGAGCAGAACATGGTGGAACTTGACTTTCGGACATAAACACATTCGATGGTTGTGTTTCCGGTTCATGACGAAAATAATCCATAGATTGTTGAACATAGGGCGTAGTTTGGTGACAGAAAAAATGCGGCGGAGTGTTTCGGTTGGTGCCAGAAAAAATGCGGCAGAATTTGTTGGCATCGATAGGAATTGAGAATTTTGAGGATTAGGATTTTGAAAATTTTGTATGAAATTGAACATAGATTGTTGATAATTAAATTGAATAGATCCATTTGGCCTAAACTTTATTAATTTTGAAATAAAAAGATGAAAGTATGAGAGAATAGTATGAGAGAAATTTCAAATAGCTTGTATTTATAATAAACTAAAGTATTAAAAAAAAAAGAAAAAAAAACTAGTCGTTCTTCAACGGTCATTTTTTAAGTTTATTAATTCTTTATTGCCAAGGACCACGCTGTAATGCATTTGAACGGTAGTCTAAGCTGGTCAACTCCAGTAACATTTATTTTACTGAAACGCAATGCTACGCTGGAGGAGAGCATCAAAAAACCAGCGTTGGAGCTGCTCTTAGTAACTCTCCATCACGATGCATGCACCATGTTTTTTGCATGGCCATATGGAGAAAGATGATGCACATCATGCATGACCTGCAGCATGACTAAAAGCAACAGGCATGAACATGCCTTAAGATATCACTCCTAGCCTACTGATGCCAAATTGTAGCCCGTGCTCGTTTACCTCTCTTCTTAGCTCAATATCTCGTGTTATAGGTATCCTCACAATAAGATCCCAAAACCAAAGTTGAAGAGAAATGATGGATGAGCAAGTCTCATGTCGATTACTTTGCGAAATCAGACTTGTAGCACACCTTGAAATACCTTTGATGGAAATGCCAGTAATTTCTTTTAAGTATTTCAGTTACTCACTTAATCCATATATATCACTTTATGGCTCTCTAATTCCTTCAATACTGAACCAGATGAGGCAACCTTGGTACCATGAAAAACAGGAAACATGTTATAACAACTTTGTAGTTGAGGAGATCCCGAAAATCAAACCTTATCACTATGAAAAATCTTCATCAAGTCGTGCTCTTGGCTTAACTTGAAAACACTTTTAAAAATTTCCAAGTGTCTGACTTTTAACAACATTAATTTACCAACTTCCAACTCTAATACCTTTTAGACCATAGCCCCAATGAATTTTACCTCTTTTACAATCTTGTAGATAGAAGATAAATGAACAAATTTGTAATTGAACTTATCCTAGATTGGAGCTTGGAACCATATGGAAATATAGCTCAAAATCAGCTATTTAGTCATTTTGAAACTAGTCCGGATTTTACTAAGTGTCGAACATTTAAAGTTAATGAATTCTCATCTTCCAAGCTCTATAACTCACAATCTATGCACTTTTAGGATATAAG